CTGTAAACTGGTCACCAGTCAGTAAAGTGGTCACCAGTCTGTAAACTGGTCACCAGTCTGTAAACTGGTCACCAGTCAGTAAAGTGGTAACCAGTCTATAAACTGGTAAGCAGTCTGTAAAGTGGTCACCAGTCTGTAAACTGGTCACCAGTCAGTAAAGTGGTAAGCAGCCAGTAAAGTGGTAAGCAGTCTGTAAAGTCGTAACCAGTCTGAGTGGTAAACAGTCTGTAAACTGGTCACCAGTCTGTAAACTGGACACCAGTCAGTAAAGTGTTCGCCAGTCTGTAAAGTGGTAACCAGTCTGTAAACCTGTCACCAGTCTATAAACTGGTAAGCAGTCTGTAAAGTGGTCACCAGTCTGTAAACTGGTCACCAGTCAGTAAAGTGGTAACCAGTCTATAAACTGGTAAGCAGTCTGTAAACTGGTCACCAGTCTGTAAACTGGTCACCAGTCTGTTAAGTGGTAAGCAGTCTGTAAACTGGTCACCAGTCTGTTAAGTGGTAAACAGTCTGTAAACTGGTCACCAGTCAGTAAAGTGGTCGCCAGTCTGTAAACTGGTCACCAGTCAGTAAAGTGGTAACCAGTCTATAAACTGGTAAGCAGTCTGTAAAGTGGTCACCAGTCTGTAAACTGGTCACCAGTCAGTAAAGTGGTAACCAGTCTATAAATTGGTAAGCAGTCTATAAACTGGTAAGCAGTCTGTAAACTGGTCACCAGTCTGTAAACTGGTCCCCAGTCTGTTAAGTGGTAAGCAGTCTGTAAGCAGTCTCTGATGTTGCTGCCTCACCGTTGTCACAGCCCGCCTGGCACAGAGAGCTGAAGCAGGGGACCCGCTCCCTCAGGTAGAACTCCCGAACCACCCGAACCTTCCGGCCGCGGCTGCTCTTCAGGTGCAGAACTTTCTCGGTCTTTATCATTCTGGACCCTCAGCTGCCCAGTCCGCGTCTCTCCAACATAAACAGCTCAGAGACGGAGGGAAAGCGTACGTACTACGTCATGACGTTCCAGCTTTTCCGTTTCGTTCAAATACCGTCGGAAATACTGAGTGACGTTTGTTTTGTAGATCTCCCACATGGACTGATGCAAATCTGTGATTTCTGTTTGTTTGTTTTTTTAAGTTTACATATGCTATTAGCAATTAAAATGTTTATAAAAATAAAGTTCTGTTTTGAGTTCACATTAATAAAAAAAAAAAAACAAACGTCGGAAATACGGGGTTTTAACTCTTTATAGGGCACTCAGTGAAACACTTTCAAAATCTAAATTTAAAGGGACACTATGCAACATTTTTCAGTTAATTAATGTGTTCCATAACGTTATGGATGACTAAATGAGTCATTTCAGGTTGAACAAAGGTATTCTCGGCCGCCCTGGTGGTCTGTGGGGGAAATACTGCACTTGCAATTGCAGGAGCACCGACCCGCACCCACAGGCTCAGAAGTCTCTAAATCGAGATACAGACACACAACTCTCCACACACATTTGCAAATATTAAAGCTACCATTTTGGCCCCATATTAGTCATTCGCTGCTAAGCTCAAAACAACCGCGCCTGGCTTGACGGAGAAACCAGGAGAACAGCTGTGCATATTTACGACAGTGCACTTTTACTTTCGCCCTCTGGAAAATCAACACCGGTTGCATAGTGTACCTTTAAGTGGAATCCAGGACAATGTAATAACTAGAAACGCCAACTTCCAAGAATATATTAAGAAAAATAGCTAAAGTGCTTCTATAAGAAATTAATGAAAAACACTCTGAGAGTGAAAGAAACACTTTTTTAGTTTATCTTACATTTTTTAGTTTATAAACCTAAATATAATTGTTAACTAGGCTTAATAACTTTTTTAACTTTATTTTCTAACTTTTCAATTATCTTTTGGCCTTTTTTTTCTTGACTTTTTAACTTTTTTTTTTTGCAACTTAATTTGCAGTAGGCAATATATCATTCAAGGGCTCATCTAATTGGTCAAATGCCAAAATAAGATGTACAGCCATGTAGCAGAATCTTTGCTGAATGGATATAGATCTTGTGCTTCTAGACCTCACTGGGTGGGGTGGGGTCTCCATTAATAAGGGGTATGCAGAGATCAAAAACGGTATTTTGCCCTATAAACGGTTAAGGACATAGATAAATACCACCAGGCTTGCTAAAAAAAAGCTGTTTGCTTGAAAAATAATTAAGAAAATTCTTTTCTTTTTTTTTTTTTCTTACTTTCTGACACTTTTTGTTAAATCTTTAAATTTATGGATCACATAAAATAAGGCACAGTCCTGGATCTTTGCCACAATGAAATGAACATTGATCTCCTCTGAACACCGAAGTGTTCCAGAGAAAGTCCACCTGACTGACGGCTGGAGATTGATCCCAAACACACATGCCAGGATTCAAGGTTTGTAATGGCCTAGTCAAAGGCTGTGTTCAAATTTATGGGCTGCGTTTTCCAAGGACACGGTCAACCTGGACTGGATCCTTAGAAGTTCTTAAAAATAAGGAGACTGGAAGAGTTTTGTTAGTGAATTCAAACAGGTCTAGCTGTAGTCAACAGCTCTGTCGCTGTTGATATACAAAGCAGGAAAATAATGAATATAGAACTTTTTTTTTAAACTGTTTCTTTTTTATTTTCATTCTTTTTTTTTATTATTGAACAAAGACTATATTCATGATAATAGAGAGTGGAATAAAGGTTCCAACCACCTGGAGCAGGAACAAATAAAATCAAATGTAATGATAGAAACCTTAGTCAGTTAAATAACCTGCTGCTGTCATTTTGCACATCTCTGATGTTGCTGCTATTTTCAAATATCCAATACTGTAAAGCTGTCCATAGCTACATATTGGTTATTTATTCTCCAGTTGCACAGTTATATACTGTTAAAACACTTTACAGTATTTTATTGTTTATATTTTAACTCTTCCCTATTATGTTATTCTTATAAGTTTTTCTAAGGTCCACATTTGTGTGACCATTTTCATTCATCTTTTTGCTGCTGTAAATTTGCCCATTGTGGGACAATAAAAAGATTTTCTATTCTATTCTTTAACATGGGTAGAAAGATATAAGTAAATCTAAACGGTGTATGTATAAAAAATATATCTGCCAAATCTCTTATATTGAACAACCAAAAATACTTAGTTAAGCAAATTGTGCAAAATCCTATCAGATTTCTACTCCCCACACTGCAGATATAGTAGGCCGCATAAACAGGATTCTTGGAATCCGACCAGACCTCGGTGTCACGCTATGACGTAATCGGCCTTCGAATCTGGCCTTCGGAGGACACATCCCATATATTCGAACAGAGCCCACGTCTTATAGTTTGTTGAATGAGCAGTTAAACATAAAGTCAATAAATTCAATCCATCAAATAATTCTACAAGTTAATGAAGGAAGTTCTACAAGATGTCGAATAAGGTTACTGTTACCTTGTTGAACATAGAAAGTATTTATAGATCAGAGCTTCTGTCTTCTTGAACCTCAGCCAGATTTGTCAGAAGGCTGCTAACACTGAGCCTGGTTCTGGTTCTGCTGAAGGTTTTTTTTTCTCTCCACTGTCGCTGCATACATGCTCATCCAGGAGGAGCAGATCCTGCTAAATTAAAGAGTCGAAGCAATCAGCTGATTTCCCTTTGTTAGAAACTTTAAACCAATCTGTCTGGAGAAGTTTATATAAACTGAACTGAATTAAAATTGAATAGATTTTTTTTCTGTGTTTCTACATCTGAATCAGTTGGAGTTTAAATCCTGAGCTACACCTAATAAATAACCTGCTATTATTTCATCCAAATGAAAAATGGAGAACAGATAAGCAGATCATGGCTTGTCTACAGTGAAAAGAAGGACTGGGTTATTTACTTTGGCCATTTTCGAAACACAGGAAGGAGCAATATTAAGTAGTGATTGGAGAAATCTTTCATTCCTTTTGAGACAGCATTAAATGTCAGCTGAGCACATTGTCAATATGAAAAGAAAAAGAGAAAAAAAGAAAAGGGGCTAGAAGAGAGGGACAAAATGTAGAACAGATAATGGATGTATATCCTATTAAAAGGTCTGTGTCTGTATAATGGGTCTGTTTTATGTGTTGTCTTCTCAATTCAGAGGGCCCCATGCCTGCCTTTGCCTAGGGCCCCAAATTTCCTAAATACGCCCCTGGTGATTTTTAATTGAGTCATTTTTTTTTTTTAACCAATGTACATTACACCAGGTACCAGTACAGAATTATATTCGTTGCATTTAAAGAAAGTGTATAAAACATATCTTAATACAGAGGAAAACCAAATATAAACAGAGAGGGAACAATAATAATAGTAATAATAATAAAAGGGGCAACATTATATTATACATACATTCAAGAACAGGGTGTTAAACCAACAGATTAAATTTACCCACAAAAGAAAGAAAATCACCAGCACTTTTTGTTTTTACAAATTCTAAAGATTTGATTAAGATTTTGTCTCATTTTTCCAATGGGACATAACTGGTTTACATTTTAAGTAGCAACATTTGTGTAAATAAAACTTAACTGATAAAATCAAAACATTAACACCAAAATTATGTTAGATTTTTTTGCAATTATACCAAATAAAGCTTCTCTTAGGGTAAAATCAGGTAACTGAATTCCTTTAGATTGGATCCACATCAGAAAATCAAGCCAAAAGCTTTGGACTACAGTACAATCAAAGAAAAGGTGTTCCAGACTTTCAATTTCAACCTCACAGAAACAACAGTTTTCAGTGTCAAAATTATTTTTTTTTGCTTAGAAATACGTTATTGGGAAATTGAGTCATTCTCAAAAACCTTCATGTGATTCCTTTGAAGTAATGCCTGTTTTCCGATGTTCATTGAACGCATCGCGCCTGGGTGGTGACGCTGCAGATCCTCCTCTTGGTTCCGGCGCTGATCTTTGGCTGCTCTGCCTGGAGCCGCAGCAGGGTGCAGGGGAGGGACTCCTCTTGACTCTGGCGCTGATCTTTGTCTCCGCCGCACAGAGGCGCTGCTGCGGAGCTTTAAGTTGGAAACTGCAGCGCTGCTGAGGACTTTACTGCCGCTTCAGGATCAGCTTCTTCTGGGGAAACACATCATCTGAATCCTGCTGCTGTCGCTGCCCCACAGACCCAACTTTGTTCTGGACGGATCCCTGCTGCAGGTAAGCAGTAAAACCTCTCACCTGAGTCCTTTTAAGTTGTTTTGTTGTAAATAATAATAATAATAAATAAACAAAACTGAGGGAGATTAGAGTTACTAATACCGCTGATATTAAATCTGTTTTCCTGTTTATTAAACTGAGGTCATCTATAAAACGCGCTTCTTCTTATTAGCTTCTTATCAGTTTTTTTTTTTAAACATATTTCTGCTAAGGCTGTTTTTAAAAGTTTCACTTATTAATTTGGTCTAATGTCCTGCAGCGCTACGTGCTCCTGCTCTGAGGGCAGATAGTTTTGATTGGACTTGTCCTGCTTGGGGGGGGGGGTCTAGTTTCCCTAGTTGGTCTCTGCGGTCATTGTTGGATTTTAAGTAAGCAGCAGGTCAACAGTTTTTTTTTTTTATTGATCCTTTTGAAGCATCACAGCATGATTGGTTCACACAGGAAGGAACGCCCTGCCGCCACCAGAGGGCGCCCCTGAGCAGCTGCCAGGCTCCACCTGCAAAGCTGGTGGCCGCTCACAGGTTGCAGGTCTGATGGTTGCAGGTCTGATGGTTCCATTCAGTGATTGTTTGCAGAGTAATTGAACGTGGAGAGCAGGCTCCCAGTGCTCTCCTGGTGGAGCTCCATTTAGCCCCCAGCAGCCATGCGTCACAGGGACATTTGTCACAAACGTGGCCGTGCAATAAAAGTAATGCAGCTGCTGATGCTTCCTGAGCTCTTACTTTAATTAAACTCGTTTTTAAGAGGATGCACCGATCTGCTGCTGCTGCTGCAGCTGCTGGGTCAACAGCCCAGCTTCAGAAATCCTCCCAGGGAGAAAAGTTAGACTCTGGACTTTTATTTGTAAATGGCTTCATATCATATATATTAAAAAAACCAAAAATGTTTAATATAATATTTTAAAAACTGTCCTATATATTATAACTGCATCAATTCACAATGAAAACCTGTATGTATCTTACCTCTTAGTGTTTCCATCAGTCTGATGGTGAAACTTCTCCATCGTTCCTGGTTATATCTGATCATAGAAACCTTGTCTGCTCTGTTGGTTTTTGTTATTTGAAGTTGGACTCAATGTGAAGTGATTAAATCTATCTTTGCTTTTCAGTCAAATAACCACAGATAAAGTTTAATTGAGCTAAACAGTTAGACACTCTTCCAAGTTCTGATAAAAGCATTAAAAACAATAAGCTCCTATTATTGTAGTCAATAAAAAAAAAATCAATCAGCTTGAATTTTGACTCAATATTTTGAAAGTTAGGGTAAAAATCCTTTTTATTGTGCAATGCATACTTGGGAATAATAATAATGGGTTTGGATCATCTTTTATTTTAAGTGGATAAATTCAACTGTATCTACAAAGTCAATAATAACAACAAAAAATACATAAATGAAAAAAGGAGCTGCAGACTCTGAAAATGTATTCAAAGTGTATGAAGATCATGTAAAACTGTACAAATGATGTGTTTTATTATATTTGTGGAGCAAAAAATGTTCTATAGAAATATGGATATCTGTGCAAAGAAAAGCAGGAATGTAAAGAAGGGATTGAGTTTAATGGGAGCAGTAATGGCTGCTGGGAGGAAGGATCTTAGATAGTGCTCCGTGGAGCAGCTATGGTGAATCAGTCACTGAAGCAGCTTCATGTGTGGATAGAGTCTGTAGCAGATAGAGCAACCTGCAAATCCTTTCATTTCTGCTGGATTAGGATTCATATTTTCCCAAATCAGACCCTGCAGGTCAGACTGTGAAGGAAAGCTGTCTTTTAAAAAAAATGTCTGTGCCGCAGACCAGCAGCATTCTGCATGACTCTGGGGAGATAAGGGGAGAAGACATGCAAGTGTTAAGCAGGAAGGTGAGAGTTATGGCTGCTGCCTCTCTGAGTCTCAGAGCGACTCGTTTGTGTTTGAAGTGAGAAGAAGAAATGATCGATTCCACCGATTTGTTCTCTGATGTTTCCCACTTTGGAGAAAATCTCACCTGTAATAAAGCAAAGTGTTCAGCAGCAGCAGCAGCTCCTCGTTAGGAGCTAACGATGTTCAGCCAGCGCTCTGCGTCTCGTCTGAACAGATTGGGATCACGTTCATCCTTCACAGGGAGTTTCACTCTAAGGAAAGCAAACAGCAGCTGAGCAGAAACGTGGATCCAAACCAAGGAGGGAACTTTTGGGTGTCCTGAGGAAGAGGAGGAGGAGGAAGCTCTTGGCTCCTGTTGAACTTTCACACCTTTCCTCCCTGGACCTGAGTGAAGAAGCTCAGCTTCCTGCTTCAGTTCGAAGGGCTCTGCCCTCTCATCACTTTCTGTGATGAAGATCAGGGTGACGATGACTCCAGCTGTGGAACATCGTCTCTGCTGCTCCTCAGGGTTCAGATTCCCTTTTCAGACTCATCGGAGCGTCTCTGCAGGATTTTGACCCTCAGATACATGAGAAGAGACAGAAAGGTCGCTGGATCGGTTGGCAGTGGGAGCAGCAGCAGCTGTGTTTCCGCCCTGCTGAACCTTTACAAACTGAAAATGCTCCGGATCAATAGCTGATCAGAGCTGATGGGTCGGACCGTTGGCGTTGTTCCTTCAGGGCTCTGCAGGAAAAAGGAGAAGATCAGAACCTGATCCGGTTCTCTAAGAAGGATTCAACTCAGATCACTGATGTACGTAAACCAGACCCTACCACTGACCCAGCAGCTCCTCCAGCAGCCGGGAGAACATGCTCTTGATCCTCTGACTCTGGCACATTGCTGGGGAGGGTTCTGGTCCACTCCACTTCCCAATCTGGACTTGGACTAGACCGTTTCAGATCCTTCCTTTGTAGCCACACTGTTTCAGATCTGCTGCAATGTTTGGGACCATGTTTTGGTTTCTCAGCAAAAAATCTGAATTGAGCATTGATACCTGCAGCGTAAAGGTCATCTAAGTGATGGTTTAAGACCCAAATTGTAACTCCTCCACCACCGTGTTTGACAGTAGAGCCGTTTGTCCTAAAAAACCCAAACATGCTTCTGTTAGTTGTGACCAAACATCTCTGCATTCCTGAAGTTCTGCTTCAGCTTCGCAGAGCAGATTCCTGCTGCCAGATTGTTTTAGAGAGAAGACCCAACCTGACTCGACCCGACTCGACCCAACCGACCCGACAAACAACAAGAAGGGATGAAAAAAATCTGAGAAAAATCAATTGAAAAAAGGATCAAAATAAGAAAGGAAAATGTTCTATAAAACTTTATACTTTGAAATCGTTCAAAATATAATAAAAAAAGAATCAAACAGGATAAAAGGGACATCTGTTTATAAACATTATTATGATTTTAATGAAGTTTTTTGTTTGCCTTCCCTGACCCAGCATATCCGTTTGAACGTAGCTGCTAGGATGCAGAAAATAAAGTTAAATAATATCAGAAGTCATTTGTTTGATGAATAATGGAGCGACTTCAGTCAGGAGGCTGTTCTCCCTGGATGAGAGACTCAAACGACTCGTAGGTGGAGGAGCATTAAGGCCAGCAGCCCGTCGGCTCCCAGCCTCTCATTCAAGCTCTAACAAAGAAGAAAAAAGGAAGAAAAGCAACATGAAAGCCCAGTAAGTGCTTCTGCTGGGGGGGTCTGTGGAGGGGGGGGGGCCATTAGAAAACCTCATGAATTCATCTCCTCGGGCCACGAGTGACAGAAAACAGTCTGAGGACGGGGCGAGGCAGGGGGCTGTTTGGAGCATTTGGGTCACTGAAAGTCAGGAAAATGACTTCATGTTTGTTTCTCTTTATTCATTCACCTGAGATCTGATTTTTCTACATGAAACCGGATCAGTTTTAGACTTTATTCAGACTCTGTCAGAACAAAATAATCTGAAATCTAAACTAAACGAGACATTTTCAAATCAGCAGAGCAGCAGCTCTAAGGAGAACATGAGTTAACTCAGAGGCGAGTCCAGTCTAGGAGGGGAACCAGCACTCCCCTTATAAAACAGCGTCCTGTACTCAGTGTTTTAACGTGAAGAGAGTGAGCATGCACAGCAGATTGAAGTGTCTGGGCATGCATAGAGGTCTAAGGGAGTGAGCATGCACGGGGGCCCAAAGGGAGTGAGCGTGCACAGGGGCCCGAAGGGAGTGAGCGTGCAAAAGGATCTGAAGGGAGTGAGCGTGCGCAGGGGTCTGAAGGGAGTGAGCATGCACAGGGGTCAGTGAGTGAGTATACAGGGGTCTGAAGGGAGTGAGCGTGAACAGTGGTCTAAGGGAGTGAGCGTGCACAGGGGTTAGTGAGTGAGTATACAGGGGTCTGAAGGGAGTGAGCGTGAACAGGGGTCTAAGGGAGTAAGCATGCACAGGGGTTAAAGAGTGAGTGTGCACAGCGGCCTGAAGGGAGTGAGTGTGCAAAGCGGTCTAAGGGAGTGAACGTGCACAGCGGTCTTAGGGAGTGAGCGTGCACAGGGGCCTGAAGGGAGTGAGTGTGCACAGGGGCCTGAAGGGAGTGAGTGTGCACAGCGGTCTAAGGGAGTGAGCGTGCACAGGGGCCTGAAGGGAGTGAGTGTGCACAGCGGTCTAAGGGAGTGAGCGTGCACAGGGGTCTGAAGGGAGTGAGCGTGCACAGCGGTCTGAAGGGAGTGAGCGTGCACAGTGGTCTAAGGGAGTGAGCGTGCACAGCGGTCTAAGGGAGTGAGCGTGCACAGGGGTCTGAAGGGAGTGAGCGTGCACAGGGGTCTGAAGGGAGTGAGCGTGCACAGGGGTCTGAAGGGAGTGAGTGTGCACAGGGGTCTGAAGGGAGTGAGCGTGCACAGGGGTCTGAAGGGAGTGAGCGTGCACAGGGGTCTAAGGGAGTGAGCGTGCACAGGGGTCTGAAGGGAGTGAGCGTGAACAGGGGTCTGAAGGGAATGAGCGTGCACAGCGGTCTAGGGGGGTGAGTGTGCACAGCGGTCTAAGGGAGTGAGCGTGCACAGCGGTCTAAGGGAGTGAGCGTGCACAGGGGTCTGAAGGGAGTGAGCGTGCACAGGGGTCTGAAGGGAGTGAGCGTGCACAGGG